CTAGATAAGGTTTAACCCTTATCCTGCCAGCCCTATGTACTTTTACATTGACTTGACTAGATAAGGTTTAACCCTTATCCTGCCAGTCCCTTGTACTTTTACATTGACTTGACTAGATAAGGTTTAACCCATACCCTACCAGCCCTATGTACTTTTACATTGACTTGACTAGATAAGGTTTAACCCTTATCCTGCCAGCCCCATGTACTTTTACATTGACTTGACCAGATAAGGTTTAACCCTTATCCTGCCAGCCCCATGTACTTTTACATTGACTTGACCAGATAAGGTTTAACCCTTATCCTGCCAGCCCCATGTACTTTTACATTGACTTGACCAGATAAGGTTTAACCCATACCCTACCAGCCCTATGTACTTTTACATTGACTTGACCAGATAAGGTTAAACCCATACCCTACCAGCCCTATGTACTTTTACATTGACTTGACCAGATAAGGTTTAACCCATATCCTGCCAGCCCTATATACTTTTACATTGATATGACCAGACCAGGTTTAACCCTTATCCTGCCAGCCCAATGTATTTTTACTTTGACAGATAATAGTCATACATTCAAGTCACTACCAGCCACATAGATGAACAGTTGAATGATTACTTTGACAAAGCAGTGTTAATTCTTGCACAGCTGCTTTAGGTCTTGAACTACAATTAAATGCCACAGATGACAATATAAAAACTTGAAAAGCAGAGCTAGTTTACACATAGAACCAAGTATCCAAAATTTTATAGAATTAAAAAGAATGTCAAATCATAATTTATTAGCCTTGAGTAGTTTAGAGACATGATCTGTGCACTTTTTGACTCCCGTGTGCGAAGCACAGAATGGGAGTCTTTGCAGTTAGTTTGTGTGTGTCAGTGTGTGTGTGTGTACATAGATGTCATAATACAATGCACGGACCCGATATGTTACTAGTTAATATGCCTATTAATTACCTAATTTGCATAATTATTAAATTTTTGGCTTTTCTGCTGATATTTAAAGTACTAATTATTACATTTCAATGAAACATCTTACATAGATGCCCTGAGATATTGTGCAGACCTGATTAGATTTGGTTGAAAAATCCTGTGCATAATAGTGCTCTAATCTGCATATTAATTAGCTAATTTTAAGGATTTCATTTGTTTCTCACGAACCATTCTAACAGATTTCAATGAAACGTGGTACATAGATGCTTTGGGATTATGCGCAAACCTGATTAGTTTTTGGTTGAGATCAATGTGACATGACTAATGGTCATATGACTATGTACAATAATATTCATAACTATAATACTGTTGCTGATAGGGACATGCAACTGGTGCTATAATTTTGTCTGACAAGATATCAGACCAAAATATCAAGTCATCATATATAGTCATTAATTCATTAAATATATTTATAATTGTTAAACAGTTTCTTAGAACCACCTTGATCATTGCTAGCAGATGATGCTATTTTAAATGGTGTATTTGCTGTATTAGCACATTTGCTGTATTAGCACATTTGCTGTATTAGCACATTTGCTGTATTAGCACATTTGCTGTATTAGCACATTTGCTGTATTAGCACATTTGCTGTATTAGCACATTTGCTGTATTAGCACATTTGCTGTATTAGCACATTTGCTGTATTAGCACATTTGCTGTATTAGCACATTTGCTGTATTAGCACATTTGCTGTATTAGCACATTTGCTTACTGTAGTAAATTTGTACTTCATGTCGCCAATACCATCAGCGCATGGGAGTTCTTTCTAATCTGTCTTTGATTTTAATTGTTGGGGTTGTAATATACAAACAGGTCCTAGACAGCTGGGAATTCATTTTCAGTTATTATGTTTATTTTCATAAATACAACATGATATATTCCCCTGTTAAAAATGTCTCAAAAATTTCAAACAAGTGATTACACTGACACTGATTATTAAAACATCGGAATAACAAATATGTTGATTTTTCTTAAACACATCAGCTACTAGTACTGAATACGTCCATTGACAGCCCTAATAAATGGAAAAGATCAATGACAGCAGACAATTTGTTAAATAAACCTGACACTAAGGGACAACGTCAAAAGATCGATAAAAAACTTATTTGCTTTAGTTTGGGGGTGAGGTGGGGGTGGGGGTTTGACCTCGAAAAGTTTTCATTCTACAAAAACGATTTTATTTTTTAATGAACTCAAAAAAACCTTGGAGTATTTGTAGTTCGTTTTTTTTTCTATCCAATCATGACAAAAATAACAGAAAATGAAAAAAAAACACATCCAAAACGAGAAAATGGTTTGGTCCGAGTGTAAATATGTGGTCAAATGAGGTCAATTTCAGGGCATGGACCTAGAAGCATGCTCAGAACCCAGACATTAGTTTGCGCATGCGTATATTCTCTTTCATTATTACAGCCAACTGCTATGCCATACTATTGTCAGATTATCAATTTGTATTTAATGGTGAATGTAGTCTGACGCCATGATCAATATTTATCAATTAAGTTTCAGTGGGGGGGTGGGGGGTTTGGGGAAAAAACTAAAAGAATTAAGTTTTTTTTTATCCGACATCGATCTTTTGACGTCGTCCCTAATAGTCTCAGTAATTCTGAGATATGTGATGTATGTTTTAAGTTTAAACTTGATTGGTCCAGGCAAGTATGGGATATGGCTCTGTGGAACTGTATTAATTAAAAAAAGATGACCAGTTAGCAATTCTGGATTTGATGGGGACACAAATGCATGCAAATTTGTCCGTTGTGATGTCTGATATACGTGTGAAGTTTGAACTTGATCAGAAACTGCATTCTTTGAAACAAAATAGCCACCAGTCGGCCATTTTGAACCCAATCCGAACTATTCAATGATTCCATTATGTTGAATGTATGAACACAATCTGTCCATGCATGACTGAGATCGGGTCCTGAAATGGCGATTTGTGATTTTGGTCTTAAAATAGTTGCCAGTCGGCCATCCTGAATCAGATCATGAAACAAATGCATGTACAATATCTGATATAATGTATGCACGTGTCAGAAATGTATATGGAAAGGTTTGTTGTTTATTACTGATATTGTATCGTTTTATTATACTGCTATACATATTGTTTATACCACTGAGCTTGAATGTAAAAAAATGGGATAAGACCTTGAACGCTGTGCTATGTGCGAACGTGAGAGGCAACACCACAATATTTGTATTGACCAATCATAGTATTGTAGATTTGAATCTAAGTTTCCCAAGTTCACAAGGGTATATAAGCACTCAATGTACAAAAATGTACTTGATTCAGGGCTCTTCTATATTATGTTCATGAAGTTCAAATGAACAAGTTTTATGCTAATAAGCATGTGTCGTTTGTGTCTTGTCGTGTCATGTCCGACAGCTGGACATCTGGTTTTTTAAAGAATATTACGTCCAAATACAAGACTTCCCTAGTGTGAAGTTTCAACTTAATCGATCCAGGCATGTCAGATATACAGATCCAGAATTGCATTCTTTGAAACAAAATGGCCTTGTTGTCAGACTTCATCTGAATGGAGTCTAAAAGTGGCCCACTGGACACAAATTACTAAAATTCTCACCTCATAGGTAAAATTTAATACAAATGAAGTAATTTACCTGGTAATAATAAATAAATACTCTTAGTTTAAAAAGATCTCATGAATCAATTATTTTAGATTCAAGCAACAAATACTGTCAATAAATAAATAAATAAATTTGTTAAGGTTTAATGACACTGTACAAACAGTTTGACATACCACTATGCACTTCATACCTGTATTTAACACCTGCTAAATCCAGCATTTTCCTGGAAGCTGTCACACCAGCCGTATCATGGTATTTATTGGACACGTAAACCACTTCTTTGATCTTTGATTGGATCACTAACTTGGCACACTCATTGCAAGGGAACAACGCAACGTACATAGTACAGCCTTTGACATCAGAAGAGTTCTTATTTAAGATGGCATTCAACTCTGCATGGCAGACTGCAATCAGGATGAAATGAATTATGTCATTCAAAAAGTTGTCACTATCCTAAGAAAATCATATACTTCATATTTTTCTGTAATTTCTTTATTAATTTTTGACAAAATCAATTATGCAGGTTATTTTGTGAAAGCCAAGTTAACATCAGTGTACAAACACTCTAATTTAGACACCTTTCAAAATCTAGGTTGAACTTGATCTGTTGGTAAGATCTGCTTTAGAAATTATAATACTCTTGATGACTATGAACAAAATCAAATTCTGTATGTGCCAAGAAATAATCGGGAAACTCTTGTCTCTCATTGAGAGAATAGCGCCATCTATAGGCAACATTTAAACATTTCTTAAAACCAAATTTATCTTTAACACATTGACTGCTGAAAGCCTCCAGGAATAGCCGAAATAAATGGTACTTCTATCTGTCCATGGAATGATAGAGAAATATGTTTCTTAATACAGGACATTTCTCAATTATTACATGATTGCAATTTAATTTCTATTATTCAAACTGCCATGAATGCATTTATTTTCTCTTGACTATACCATATGGATATTTTGTGTCCAACTCATCATCTGCTTTCCGTCTCCATGGTAATACATCATCACTGCAACCTATGGGCATACCATTATAGCCAATACCCACTATTTTCTTTTCCTCGTTAACAATGCATGCTCCAACCTAGAAAAGTAAACACATATTACACATGTTCCTACGTAACGTCAGAATAAATACTATTTCCTGGATTCCTCTTACTCTAACCCAATTTACCTGAAAACTTACCAAAAAATGGAAATATTGTGTTTATGAACGAGACTATATTTATGTGGCAGATAGAAGAATTGTTGTACCTGTGAACTTGGATCTTTGCTTCTCTGAGCAGAGAGGAACGCAACAGCCATGAAATAGTCTTCCCATGACAGATAATCGACACGTTTCAAATTGTTTTCACTTAAAATTAAAAACAAAAGCCAATAAGTGGAATTACTGAATATATATATATATAACACATTTCCATGGTAACAACTACAACCGAATCATTATTGCATAAACTATTAATTTAAATCATTTCAGAGGTGTGTATTTGAATGAAAAACTTGAAGCGGTGAGTTCAGAAGACCCGCCTATTATTTTAGAAATATCCAGTGTCTCATCCAGGAAGCGATGTGTGCGTGATTTTCATACACATTTTTCAGTGCAGTAATTTTAAACAATAGCCAATCACACAGTATTTCTGAATGTAGGATTTGTGGCATAATTCACTGATAAATGATAATTCTGACTGTAAATCATCAATAACAATTTTTTTTATGATCTGCAAACTGGAAATAACATTATTGCAATACATAATTCACGTATGTACTTGACTATTCCAGTAGCCTCAAACACTGTCGTTTATCAACATAGCTGAAAACATACACTGCATCTTTTCAAGAGACAAAGATTTGCATTGATTAAACTAGGCTAATATATGCCAGAAGATGGGTTGTTTGAATGAAAATTGTCAGAATGAAAATTAGTGCTGAGACGAGGAATGATCAACCTGATGAAATTGTGATATGACTGCACAGCAATTTGCCTTATTGCCCATCAGTATACTTTTTTTCACAATTACAATCTATTCAATTTTAAAACATTTCAACTAAATATTACATTTCTGCTAATAATGAAAATGTCTGCTTACCATGACTATTTGCACACATGTGTCAATGTTATTATTAGCCCTACATATAATGCCGTGTCGTTTGGGGCAAACTAAAGAACAATGTCCCCACACACAGCCATATGTAGTCATGGTAGTTTTGTATTCGAGCGTCACAAATAGTGACCATATATTGGAACACGATTGTTTTTTGGATGCATTCAAGACGATCACTCTGAAATATCTGGTTTGATTATTCCAATAGTATTTACTGATCTAATTGTATTATTTGATACCATCTTGCGTGTCATTACAAGAAAAAACTAAATAACTTTATTCAAAGCGCCTCCTTTGAGAATGTAAATCTGCCAGTTTGGAAGACTGTTTAAACATGAGATTACCCAAATTTTTTTATCAGTTGAGTAGAATGTCATTGGTACAAGAATACAGCCTTGAGACAACACGTAATAGTCATTTAAATGGTAAAATAGATGTGAAGCCAGTGAAAGTTCATTTTTGATATCCACCTCCAAAGTGATAGAGTGCATTGTTATGCTCACTGTGCATGGCTGTGGGGTTGTCTGTCTGTATTATGATACTAAGCCCTCAAGACAGTCCATGTACGCAGGGCCATGTTATTATACGCATACATCTAACCTATCAAAGCTTGAAAGTTGTCATCTGAATGTTACAGTAGCATTTTTTTTCATACGTTTTAACGAGTTATCATGAAACTTTTTGACATTTTTCAAAACAATATTATTTGTGACTAATATGAATCCTAATAAATAGTGAAGAATATTAATTAAATGTTTTTGGAAATTGTTGATATTGTATGTCACGAGGAATAATAACAAAAGACGACAGAGATATGATACTACGCATGGACCTTTAGCTCAAATATAATTAGAAATTGGTCAGAACACTGTGAACACGTACACGTCACTCATTCAAACACATGTTCCTCCAATGCAGTAATAGTAACAATTGTCGTTTTGGGACAAGATAATATCATATTGGCCTTATCATATATTTATAAAGCAATGAATTATTTATTGCATGGTGTAAATCTCCCAGGTCAACCCCGCAAACCGTCAAGAGAAAACGTGCAAGTTGAAGTTTAGTAAGCAAATAACACCGAATAAACGGCAAGGTAAAGACTATGTCTAATTATAGTAAATACGTACAAGTTGAAGTTTACCCGTTGTTTGTGCGTGTTGTAGTTTTCGAGTTAAGTCGGTTATGAAATTACATAAAATATGACACTTAAACTACGTCTTACGTTATTTCTCCATTTGACTCTCTGACTCGTGGTGTTGCGTCCCTTACTTCTGTCCTTACTCTTTTCGAGCTTTTGTGGTAGGTGGAAGATTTTTGTTTTGTCGCCATCTTAGATTTTGCCGCGCTAATGACGTCACTGACAGTCAAGAAGTTGGCGCTGTTCAGATTTGTGATTCTCAGGTCAATATGCCAAAATAATCCAGACATTTTAATATGTACTACTCTGAAGGGGCGGAATTTCGATCAATGTCCGTGCATTACAATAATTGTATAGAAATATGGTGTATTCTATTATGTAATTTCAAATATGTTTCTACCTTCTAATGATTAGAATTTCATCAAAATAACTATATCATTGCAGAACGACCCCTTAATGTACAGTGGACTGTGCCAAATTCCGGAGTTCCCCTAAATGGCAGAATAAGTAAGTAGACACATTCTGATTGGTCACAGCACGCGCGATTTGAATATTTATCCAGTGAAGTCATTACGGTCGTGCCGGGTCATTATGTATGCAAATAGCGTTATAATGCAAATGTCTGTGTTGGCACAGAGGTTGGTTGGATCAAATATGGCGAACGTTCATTGTGGAATACACTAAATTCAAACGCGATTTCATGGGTGGAATCGAGAGAGAAATATGCCCAGAAATCATAATGGAGAGCTCCTACTGCCCGCAGGTTGGGAGGAAGCGAGGGATTATGACGGAAAAATATACTATATCGATCACAACACCAAGCAAACTTCGTGGATTGACCCACGAGACAGGTAAGCCCTATGTTTTCTCTCTCCCAACATAACATACATATTTGCGCCGATTTCTTTGCTGAAATTGCTACGATACGATTTGTAGCTAGATCCAATGGTTACTGGGTTCCCGATTATTATAAATCTGTTTATATTGATGTCGTGATTTGTTTGAACTACGACGTTAACTGGGTGTAAACAGCGTAAATTGGAAGGCAGCGTGCTGGAGTGTATGCGACAAGTGTACTAAAGACTCAGCATTTATATGATTTGTGTTTACACCCGGTGTTGACATCGTCATCGTCCCGTCCCGTGCGTGCGTGTGCCACGAATTGTTATCGGAGTCAACGTATATTTATAAAGCTCATTGCCATGGTAGAGCATACTACGATGTTTCAAGTGGATTTGGGATAAGAGATTTTCTGATATTCGCTGATATGAAACACACCACCGCCACGAATCTCCGCACTCTAACTGCGCGATTTGGACGTTGATTACTCACCAAACACCGCTACACCCGCCCACTTGCTACTTGCCTTAGATATTTAAGACATGTTGGGTGTAAAACCACACACAATTCCGGATAAAAAAAAGGATGTCCTTGTTCGTGGAACAATAGAACAGCACTCGTCATCACCGATTCACTGTTTTTATGGTATTTGTAAGGCCTTGTAATTGTAGTAAAGGGACTCACGGAAAAAATGCGTCCTTGCTAAACTAATTGGCAACTGTGGAATCTTTGGATTGAAGTATTATTCCGATGAAGCTGCGCATTATCCAGTACATGGTGCGACCTATATTTATTTAATTAACATACTACTGTGGTGCCACAGATCTCAGTACTAGATAAATTATTTTTAGATTGCCTTTGTCAATGACACCATTTGTGGTTCATGGAATGTTTGAACCAAAAGTTTTTATCCCCAATACATTCCACAAATAAATGTGAATGATGTATTTGAAATTCAAAGTTATTCTATTACAGGCTATAAAAGAGTAAATTCCACGGAAGTAAAGGATATCTTAAGGATTATATTATTATAAAGTAATAAAATAAAAGTCTTTATTGATATTTATTTACAAACAACAACAACAGGACAAAAAATAAACAATGAGATAGTATAGTAATTTTTAAAAAATCGATCAGTCCCTATATTGCACAAATGTGATATCAGCCAGTCATTATATGTATAAACATGACCATGGTTGGAAATGTATCGGGATAATCCCAGATCGTAGTTTGAAGAAATTTGTTTTGTGTTCATAATGCGTCATCGTTAAGTACAAAAGTGGTACTTGCTGTGAAAGAGGAAGCCTGGGATGTAGCGCAGCACACGCCCTAAGTCAACTATTGTTGTTTTTGTCAGTAGCAGTAGGTCAGGGTAATCTTGGACTGTGTACACTTGCTGACACAAGCCGGCGTACCCCTCTAAAACACCATTTGTAATATGCACATACTCCCTCTGTCTGCATCAGTCCTGTCTTCTGTCCTGACTAGGACATTGCATTATTGTTGCAGGCCATGTGGTGCTGAGGGGTTCCCTTTTTTTTTTAATAGCCTGTTTGGTAGTAAATCTCCCTCCTCCTAAATATTGACCTCAATGCGTGTCTCCATTGTTGTATGATGGTCATAATACGAAGTAGTTGCTGTTACTGCGTAGGTCAGTTTAAGGTCATTGAAAACTCAGAATGGGGGGGGGGGGCATACAGTCAAAAATGGAAATTGATCTGTATACCAGTTTTAGTGAGGGAAAGGGGGGCAATATTATTATCAGGCTGCATGTATCAAAATTTTAGTTTTCACCTGATACTAATAATTTTACCACAACCCTTAAGTGGAAATTGCTATGATTTGCTTTACCAATACATGTAATATGAACTCACCCTCTACATTCTATATGATCAAAACTTGACTGTTTCAACTATTCAAATCAAAGCATTGAACCATGTACGTTTTATTTGTTGAAAAGATTGCATTCAACAGTGTTGGTAAAAAGTAATCATCAAGTCTTAGTGCTATATCAGTGAATCTATAGACAACACTTTCCTGCAAGTTTTGACAGCAATTCCTTTTTATCTAATTAATCTCATATCAATTACACCTCTACTGAATTAATTAACTTTTTAATGGTAGTTATTTCATACATATTTAAAATAAATTCAATGCTGCAGAAAACACCAAATGTCTCACACACTACGTGCAGGTTGGGAAATTAGTTTGCACATGGGATAAAATTGAATGGTTTTTTAACAAATGAATAATGTGTTTTTTTTAATCAATTTCTTCCCCTGACCTTTCGGTTAAGGCCATAAAAAACATTTGTGCCTTTTTATAATTGCATTATTCCCATACAAACAAAGGTATGAAGCTTCTTTTTGTTTGGTGTCTCCTTTTAATAAATATGTGCTATCTGACCTTGCTGCATTAGTAATAGAATAAATAATAAAATTGCTGCACAATAGCTCTTTGCTTAATTATAAATAAATGTTATCATACTTGTTGAATGAATACCAATGATAGTTTAAATTCTGTAGATTACTGGAATTTTTTATTTTTTTTTGAAATGTAATTTTATCTTTTATGAAATCACTATTGGTTGAATTCAATTTATTGGTTGCGTGTTTCAGGCTCTGTATAGGAACATTTGTTTTTGTATAGAGATGCTGTAAGAACCTAGACCCAAGCCAATTTGGCTAACATTATACGCCCAGATTCTGTGACAGTTGTTTCACTATGCTATGTTGAGATGGTTTCATCTTTATCTTAATCCACTCAGTCTTGAAAACAATACCAAATCCCAGAAAGGACGTGACCTGAAAATAGCATCGCAAATCCCACTTTTGTAAGGTGATAAAAACAACATACAACCGCTTTGTTGTTTCAGATTACTGGCTATGTATCACACTCAGAATGCTTTGGGGGAAAATGGTGTCTCTGGTATTCCAGGCTTGTCTGTCATTTATGTTAAAGGGCTCAGAAAGATGTATAAAGAATTGTTTATTAACAGCTAAATGCAAACAATTCTTCAATCCTCTTTATCAAATTCCATGCTTTGTGAAATAATAATACAAGAATGTAGAGGACGAGTTTTTTTTCTTCTGTTGTCTGCATTTTTTGTGCGTCATCCGTAACTTTAGAATAACAGTGAAATATGGGTGACGTGCAAGGTAAAGTCTGTCCTGCATTCTCTTCATTCATCTGCCACTCTGTCGAGTCTGAAAGAATGTTTGTAAAAATGTATCATTCCATTGAACTGTATTATTAAATATCAATGTAAACACACCATGTTTGTTGAGATAAAGAAAAAAGTCAACTGCAACATCCTGAAATGTTGAAAATATTAAAACAAAGAAACATAATTTTAATTTTAACAAATATTCATCCTAGATCATATTTTTTGGCCTATTTTATTAGCCTTGTTGCCCTTAAACTATAAAAATTCCTTATGTGGTATTTTTTTGTCTTTTAGTAGTAATATTATTTTTTTGTGCCAAAGTTGTATAAATATAATTTTAATATAAAAATTTACTGCATATTATTTTAATACCCTGCATCAGATGGTCCCTCCCCTCCTATCAGTAAACAGCCTGTCATAAATCTTTTGTCATGCTAATGAATGACTTAAGCAGGATGTCCTAATATATTGTCACTCATTGTTGGTTTGTATCTTACATTTTAACATGTATACAATTGACTATTGTTTATTTAGTTAAAATGGTGGATTGAGTTGTTGGCAGAGTCCTGTCCAAACTTGCTCTCTGTAAATACCCAAAGAGACATACATATGTCTTGTTATTCAAAATAACAGTTTTGATGACATTTGAAGCATGTGGTGCTTTGACCTTTTTTTAGTCAACATGCAATAAATAACAGTGTAAATATATTCACCTGATGCTAACTATTATGAGTGTGCTTTATAGAACCATATGTATTGCCAGACATGTCAACTCTCATCATTTTGCCAATCAATTATACTGCTATAAAGTAAGCAATACTTTCAAATATTTAAATGCATCCCGCTATTGTTAATGCCCAGAAAAAGAAGAATAGGATAAAACTGACAAAAGCAGCGATACTCGCATTCAGAAACATAAATATTTTTTTTGATGGGCCTAGTGATGTTAAACTTGATTACTGCATGTTCTGTTACTCCTGGTGCCAGTGTCTGCAGTGTGTAAATTGACGACTGCCTACTTGTTTCTTGTTTTCACAAACACTTATTATTATATTTAGTTTCTAAAAGGTAGCCCTTGTGATATTATCAAAAGGGATGTATTTGTCTGGACTTTGACCAATTCCAGACATTCCGCAGCCATCTAGGAGGCAACAAGACCTCTCAATCAAACTTTAACCTTGACAGGTGGGTGCTACTTGCGTGACAAAAGGAAGAAATGATCAATTGGTGATGGTAACCGATATACGACCCAGTAGATATCCACTGTTCCTGGGTGAATTAAAATTAGGTATTCACTCAGTGTACTTCAAATGGAATGTGATAGTTTTTCCTCCTGGAAATGAATAAAGGTGCAATATGATTCCAACATTCCATGATCAGTGTACTGTACTATAAATTTGCCAAATTTTATAAAAAAAATCAATGCTGTGATCTCTAAAGTTTTTTTTTTAAATGACACAATACTTCAGCAAGTGAGTGTCGGTAGTTTTCATTTTTCGTGTTATGACTGGCTAGAAAGGAGCCTGCATAGTAGGCGCTTGTTACAACCCTACTGGAAATACTATACCAGGGAAGTACCCCCATCACACCCTTTACCATGATGGCCACTTAACCAAACAATTTAGTGATTGGACACACAAACCATAATAATTCATGTGTTCACTGATTGTAGGCTCATTTCTAATAGGTAAATAAAATATTGCTGAAATTTTGGAGTTTTTACGGTACATACGTTGATAATCCAAAGCTAATCAGCTTAAGTCTTCTTAGAGGTCAGCGTGTTGTATATGTGCGTTGTCAGTTATTATTGACAATATAATCCTGATCACTAGAAAGCTGGATTAT